TTACCTGCTCACTCACAGAATACCCAGCTGGGAGGGCTTGTGTACAAGTGATGGCACTATCCTCTCCCCTGATTAATTCTTTTTCTTTTTATCTTATTCTTTTTGACGGCAACCTCCATTTTTCTTTCTTTCTTTTTCTTTGCAAAACATGATGTAATGGATCTACTCTAGGGCAGAATAAATATTTTCCATAATCTAAAAGGCAAATGTGGTTTGGGAAGTGATTAGTTCTGTATAACATGTCAGTGACAACTCTGGAAGAGGAGAGTAGAATTGGAAATGGCTATAGCAGGAGGAACAAGGGGAAGGAGAGGGAATAAGAGATGTATTAACTATCACATACCATGAAAGAGAGGCATATGGTAGAGCTGCTGGAATCCCACCTGGATGCAAGGCAGCAGGCAGGCTGACTGCATAGATGGCTTCTGCTTGGGATCAAGACTTGGCTATATCTCAGTTAAAAAAGTGGGTAAGCTCCCACTTACCCATCTCTCATGGCAATGAGAAAGCTCAGGGGAGAGCAGACTCAGGGTCATTGTCCTTTGAGTGGGTAGTGGTTTTCCCCTCCTTTACCACCACACCAGCCTCAGCTGCCTAACAACAGGACATACAGTCTGTAAAACTAGTTGAGAGGCAGCTTCATCCCATTCCCTCAAAGTACTTCTGAATATCCTGCTCCTTACTATGAAATAGAGCAGCAAAGGCTTTCTATCCTGGAAGCAGTACTTTTAACATACCTTTGCGATAAGCTTCCTTAAGCTTCTCTGACATCCACAGTACAGCCTTCACACCCAGCTTGGTGCCATAGTTGCGGTCAAAAGGAGTTGGAGCACCTCCCTACAGACAGGGACAGAAAACTGAAAGTAGAACCCAAAAGAGTGTTCATGTTCCTCTTGCTGTGGGAAAGGCCATGCTGATCTGAACAGATGGCTAGGGATAGCCTACTCAACAGACATTTTACACATGCCTCTGCCAGAAGTTTGTGAAATGGAAAACGAGAGTCTCACACAGATGGCTAAAGACTAGACAGGGCAAGAATTGACCTGCTCTTTCTAAAGCCAGCCTCTCTGGCTATTTTCATCCTCAGTCCAAGCAATGGGTTTGTTGTTGAGGCGCTGGGCAAAAAGCTTTCCCACCACTAAAAGTAGACTAATAGGTTGGTAACTCGAAGGATTTTTCTTATTCCCTTTTTTAATAGATAGAATGATGAAACCCTGAGACCACTTGTTGAGTAACTAACCAGTCCTGTTAATCTGGATAAACAGGGCTGCTAGCAAAGATGCCCATCATGTGTTATTAGCTTTCCAAAACTCAGGCATAGCTGAGCCTGACTCTGGAGCCCTTCTGAGTTTAATTTGAGAATTCAGTGTCTTTATTTCAGCTTCAGCCACAGTAGCCCAATATGGAAGAGCATCTGAGAGGTTCAAAGATAAAGGATGCATATCCACAGAGTTCTGTTCTCTAGTGTCCCTGACAGTAGTTTTATGACTTGAATCTGGTGTCTCATCACTGGAATGTACTGCTTGATGTTGGATACTAAGATACTAAAACTTTTCAATGCAAGGCTTGA